AACAGCCAAAACAAACGGAGCTGGTTTAGAGGAGAAAAGAAGGCAACTATAAAATAAAATATAAAACGAATGGAAGAAAGGGGAAGTCAATATAATGAATGTTAAAATAGAAGCTAGGAATTGTAGCCTGATAAGACATATTTTCCCTAGCCTATCCTTGATTTTTTTTAATAGCATGCTAGTAATGCAAGATGCCTACAGGATTAAATTTAGTTGTCTTGTATGACACAACTTTAACAGAAGTAAGGTGATATGGTTAAGATTTCTCTTAGTTCCCGTATTATTTTCCAATATATGTATTATGTAAAGATTATGAAAGGCCTTTTCAGTTAGTTTGACAGGTACTTTGAGAATATTACTCAATTTGGCCAGAACAAACATAAACAGAATCTGCAAATTCCAACAAACTGAATTTACCCACCTCAACAGACTGAGGCGCCCAGATTTCCTGCACATAACCACAATGCTTCCCATTTTTTTCTCTGTTCTGGGAGTCAGTCCAAGAAGACGTCACATCTTCTCCTGTGCATATTCATAGACAACCCCCCCAAAAATCCCCCAAAAATCCCCCCCAAAAATCCCTTCCAATCAGTTATAGGTACCCACAGCAATCTTAGGGTACCAGACCCAACTTTGGTTAAGAGATTGGACATCTGGGACATTTTAGCACCACAAGGGGAATATAGGCCCAAGGATAAAGGAAGTCACGCTGCTGCAGCCATAACTACTTAAACCTATCCAGAGTGTATATTATCTTCTCTCGAAGTCAGAAACTAAGTTCTATTCTTCTTCTATCTTTATATTTGTCTTGCTTCATTTATTCTAAGTATTTCATAGTCCACCTGCACCAAGTTTCCTCAGGCGAAGGAAAGCTGGTCCTTTCACTCTCAGCCTTTGAGGGAGATCTTGTGAGTATGAAATTCTGTTAGGTAACTAAGATCTGTATTCTTAGGTAAGTCCAGTTTGATTTTGTTAATGCCATCCACAAAAGAAATTCAATTAATCTGTGTACTTGGTGGTATATATTTTTGTGGTATTTATTATAATTAATCCTGCAGCAATAGAACTTATTTTAATTGCATTTCCTGATTTGAAGTGAGACTGTCACTCGTCACCTGCAGACACTCCGGAGGGGAAATCTTATTGTTCCACCAACTTGTAACCAGAGTTAGGGAGGACGAACTTAGAATCACTGGTCAGACTGGCAAGCCTTACCCACCTAAATTCCACCACAATTCCTACTCAGGCTACAGAATTCTAGAAAATTGATATGAGAGGCAAAGGGACACAAAGATAAATCTATTACCAGCAGAGTTAATGTATCTTTAAAGAATTCCTTCTTGTGTATTAAAAAAAAATCCTAATAGAAATTGAATGTATGAAACAAAAATCTTGGTCACTAAAACACATATTATTTATTTGTGCCCAGTTTACCAAACACTGCAAATATCTTTGTATCAGTAACCTGTTTTCTTCATTATTTATCAATCTCAATTTGTGTCTCATCTGCAAACTTATCACTGATTTTGCTTTCCCCATGTTCATTGATAAAAATGTTAAATAGTGTTAAGACCAAGAACCAATCCCTACAGGGCCAAAGAAAAACAACTTCTTAAAGAACAATATGTAGTCCTGTGGCACATTAGAGACCAGCAAATATATATATCGTATCATACAGTTTAGCGGACAAAACCCACTTCATCCAGCTCATCTGAAGAAGTGGGTTTTCCCACAAAAGTTCATGATACTATATATATTTTTTGTTAGTCTCTAGGGCTGTGTCTAGATTACATCCCTCTTTCAACAGAGGAATGTAAATTAGGCACTTTGAAATTGCAAATGAAGCCGTATTTGAATTTCCTATGCTTCATTTGCATAATCACATAATGGCGCTCTTTCGAAAAAGCACTCTTTTGAAAGTAAAACTGCGGTCTAGACCTGAGGTTTACAGGATCTTTCGAAAAAGCCTTCCCTTTTTGAAAGAACCGCATCTAGACCGCAGTTTTACTTTCGAAACTACTCCTTGTTTTTAGAGTTACATATTAACACAGCTACCCTCTGAAACTTCTCAAAGATGAATTCCCATTTACAATGACATTGAGACTTATCAGTTAAATGGATTAAAAGTTAGTTAACGTGTGCTATGTTAATTTTATACCATTATAGTTTTCTAATCAAAATGTTAGTCTTAACCAAGTCAAATACCTTACAAGTCTATGTCAATGTTATTATCTTTATTGACTAAACTTGTAATCTCATTTAAAAAATGAGAGTTTGATAAGATCCATTTTCTATAAACCCATATTGATTGGTATTTATTACGTTGCCCTCCTTTAATTTTTGATTAAGTACCATATCAGCTACTCCAGTATTTTGCACAGGGTTGATGTCAGACTGACCGGCCTAGAATTACCAAACTCATCCCATTTACACTTCAAAATATTGTACAGCATTAGCTTTCCTCCAGTCTTGAACCCCTTTAGTGTTCTAAGACTTATTGAAAAATCAACATTAACAATCAAGAGTATTCCTCAGGCGGCTGTTTTAAAACTCTTGGATATGAGATACCTGGACTTGATTTATAAATGCCTAATTTTAGTAACTACTCTTTTAACATCTTTCAGAGGTAATAGTGTAATGGAAAGAGCATTTCATATTATGATTGTATATTTTTCCTTAATACAGAAGAGAAATACTTATTAAACACTTACACGTTTTCTACATTATTATTAATAATTCTATAATTTCCATTCAAAAAAGCTCTACTGAACAATTAATTTCATGTCCCAAAAAAGTATGTGCCCTCATTCTTCTGGTCGATTATCTCCTCTTGCTCTATATATCTATCTTCCAAAAGTAGAAAGTAGAATCTAGAAACAATGTATGCAAACTCATACCTTACCAATTCAGGTATTAGCCACTGCACAGCACACAAGTGAGGGCAAGTGCCCTTAGATGTTAAAGTAGACACTTGTAAAAATTAAAATAGTCATGCAACTCATCAGGTTATGGTCCATAATCCTGTGCTGAGGTTAAAAAAAAACAAACAAAAAAAAACCACACCACATATTTCCAGGATTTTTTGTAGGTATCAGCATAGAGCTAGTTCCAACTCCCTCAAAAGAGATTTCCAAAACTAATCAGAGATCATTATATAACTTATTCTATATTTTAGGCATTTTCAGTTACACATTCTTTGTAAGTGTTTAATTACAATAAACCGTTAGAAATAAGTGTTTTGTGCTATCATCCAGACCATTGTTTTTACACAAGACATGCATGCAAAGATATAATTTTGCAAGTTACTAGGAGGCTGCACCCCCTGCTTGCTATGCTTGCCAACCCCCCTCTCTCTGAGGGTAGATGCCTGGGCAGGGGCAGGAGCAGGTGTGGGGGGTGGGTGTCAGGCTCAGACGGTGGAGGGGAGCTGGAGTGGCCTGGGGATGAGCACGGATGGTGGAGGGGATACATGGTGGCCCAGGGGAGGAGAAATCAGGCTTTTATGGTGGAGGGGACGCAGTCCCAGCAGCTCCTCCCAGGCTCCCCCAGGGCAGGAAGCAGGAGCCGGAGATGAAGCAGCCCATGCCCAGAGGGGACAGCACGGAGGCTAGCAAGTGGCTGAGGGCAGAGGCAGGTCTCAGCTTGACAAAGCCCTGGCCGGGTTGATTTAGTTGGAATTGGTCCTGCCTAGAGCAGGGGGCTGAACTTGATGACCTTCTGAGGTCTCTTCCAGTTCTATGATTCTATGAGGACGCAGATGACATCATCTCTCTCTATAAAAAAAATTCCTGTGGGACATTTCCACAAAGGTACTCTTAATTTAATATATGCTAAGAGTCTGTACTTGCTGTGATCACATTTCTACTTAAACATGGATTTTAAAGTTTTAATTTACAATATTTAAACACTATTGGCTATAAAGCTAGTAAGACTTTTCTAATAGAGCTGGATAAAAACAAGAAGCACATACACTTTGTTTTACAGCTGAAATGCAAAGTAGAGTATAAATACACTCCATAATTTTCATTTAATTGGGGTTTGCAAATAATGGAGAAGTTAAAAGAATATCTGATCAACTGGCAAAAAAAATTGTAAAATAATTCCTAGATTAATTTTTCTAAAACAGCAATTTATTATTTTTAAACTTTCATGGACCAAGTGTTCTGTTCCATTCACATTAATGACAGTTATGGTCTACATAAAAAAGACTGAATTCAGTCTTATGGTTAAAGCAGTCTTTAGAAAGTTAGTTTCTATAAAGCATATATGAAAAATATTGTAATGTTCCAGCTCAAACTTTAATCCAGATGTAGACTGTTCAGCTAAACTGTGGAAAAGTTTCTTGATTTTTACTACATTACATTCACTAACTTCAAGTTCAGACATTATGTTAGTGCTATAATTTTAGCAAACGTATCCAGCATACTTGTTTTTTCTAACACTGTCTTCTTAAAAACCTAAGTTACAGATGCTTTAACATCCAACAGTGACGCAAAAAATAAGAATGATTAACATAAGGCTCACTGATATATAATCCTCAAAATCTGAAGACAATTCTGACACATTACAAAAGTAAGGTAATTACAACCTTTCATTTCATAAATAACACTCAAAGAACTAATCTTAAGTGATGGAAGATAGAACAGTCTGTGCTCAAAATATCACAATAATCAAGTATTAAGGATTGAAAGATCAAGTGCCTTAGAAGATAGTATGTCTCTAACCTGTTGCTAACTGTAATTAAGTCAAATTAGTTGGTTCTTTTCTTCTGAAACTTCAAGACATGCTCTGGTATTAAGGATAACACTGTAGATTAAGTCTAGACGGTTCCTTGCTCTGCTATTAGTGCAGAGGACTGGACTTGATCTCTCAAGGTTGCTTCTAGTCCTATGATTCAATTTAGAACTAGACATTCAATTTAAAAATAATTACTTTTTTAAACCCAGAAAAAGCAAGATTTCCCCATTATACTAATTAACCTTAAAAGATCAGAGACTATACACAGATTCAAACAATTTATTTAATTTCACTGTAAACCAAATAAGTTAGGTCAATAAAAATTCCATTTTGTTGTATGTACATCTATGTCATCAGGAAGCTGCTCAGGCTAGCTGATGTAATGTGATACAGGGTCCTCCTTCCCTAGCCTTGTGAAGGTCCACATCTCCATTTTCTCTGTCCATCAAATGGTTCTTTTACAGTCTGGCCAATCTTTCATCCCCAAAGCAGACTAAAATAGACAGAAAATTAACGTTAACATTTGCAATATATTTTGCAGTAATCAGGAAATAGCATGGGTCTTTCTGAACACAAGACAGTATGTACAACTATGGCTCAATGTATATTATTCCAGGGGGAATTCTGCACCACTGTGAAGAATTGTGCTCCTATCTCTCTTCTTCTACGACTTCTGCAGACACATTCAGCAGAGCTGCTCCAATCTAAATTATGCGATTGAGAGGAATATGGGGCGGGAGAGAGGAGACATTTCCCTTAAAAACAGAGCGTGTGCCTTCTCAGAAACTCAGCCAGCACACACGCTGTGTCACTGTCACATATACCCAGCCTGTTCTATGCTACCCTGTGCCACACACACAATCAGTCTCACACACTCTCCCGTCTGTGCCACAAGCACTCAACACGTGTCAAAATCTGTCTCTCACACAGTCTCTCACGCACACTTTCTCTTTGTAGCCTCAGCCCCATCCCTTCAGCCTGAGGCACTGCCCTTTCTGGGGGGCCCAGAACCAGCAGCAGCTATGTCCCAAAATTTGTGACATGGCTCCCTCCCTTGGCAAAAATTACTGCCCCCCTCAGGGTAGAGAGTGTGGGTGTCTGGGGGTGGGAGGTGGGTGTCTTGGCTGGGAGATCACCCAGCTAGGATCTGGGAGGAGGGGAGGTGCAGGTACTGAAGCAAAGAAGGACCCCATGGCTAGACTCCAGGGTGGAAGGAGTGCAAGTATCCAGGTGAGTTTCCACTCTACTCCTGTCACTGTAGGGTTTTTTTTAATATGTCTCTATTGTTAAAGACATACCTGCTGATAGGTATTTTGAAATTATATTACCAAAATAATTGAAATTTGTGTGAATATGTAGTATTACTTTGACAGATAACATTTTGCAGAACTTAAATATTGTGCACAGAATATTTTTTTCTTGGGACAGAATTTCCTCAGGAGTAGCATATGCACAGAATAAATGCTGTCCAAAGACAGTAGACAATAAAACAAAAGCTAGGTTGTCAAACATAAGACAGGCGTACAAAAAGCCTGATCAAGAGCCCAGTCAGATCAACAGGAAGATTTCTGGCTTCAATGGGCTTTGGATCAAAATGCATCTTCATGAACACTTGATACTGCACAAAAACTACATGGATTTTAATGAATACCCTTTAAAAAAAATTCTGTAGATTTTATTTTGGTGATAGCGGGATCAGTATTTTCACGCAAGTGACTGGGACATGCTTCATTTCCAAAATACAGATTTAAAAAAAAATGTTTATAGTGCGCAGATGCATTTTATTAGAATGAGGGGAAGATCTCAAAGTGCTATTGAGGCCAAACATGGAGATACTTTATCAGCAAACAAAATGTCCATGAAGAACTGAACTACCAAAGTTCATTTAAAATAACCCACACAAAGAAATATATCCTTTTTATTACAAACCTATCTTTATACAGATATTTTTCTTAACTTAATCTGTTATTTTTAGAATGTAGAATGTCCACATTTTCTTCATATTTCTGATTTTATTGCATTTCTGAACTCACTAATCCAGACAGTGGAAATTCTAAGACTAAAGCATTAAGTGCAGAACATAACTAATACATCTTCAAAAGTTCTTCTACGTCACTGAAACATGAATATGGAATATTCAGACTGCACAATTTAAACACAGCAAACATCTACTTTACATGACAATTAAGGCTGTCAGCCAACTTTCTTAAATTTAATATATGTTTCAATGTTTCATACTACTGAAACATAACTCAAGTTCTCTCATTAGAAAAATTAAATGTAGTTTCACTTTGAAGTTTTCTATATGCCAAACTAAAATAAAATTCTTCAGGAAAATAGAGTACAGTAAAGTATTAAAGAGTTACAATTTGTGCCAGGAGTTCCACACTAATAAGCAGCCATACAAAAATACAGCAAAAGAAAATTTTATTACAGAAAAAGATGTTTCAAAATTCCAAATTTCATATGAAAAAACTTAAGATTTTTTTTAAATAATGTAAATATATCAATAGCATCTTCATATAATATCCCTTATATTAATCAGTTTCAATGAAGTATTACTAAGTTACTGGCATTGCAACAAAGACATCCATCAAGATTTTTCATTTTCTTTTATTCAGTATTTGAATGGTTTGTCTTCTTCCATAAACATCTTTTTTAAATAAATAGTTACAGAGAATACATTACAAAGAATACATAACAAACAGAGGAGCTATGAAAACTCTAAATAAACAGTAAACGCCCATATCCACACAGGCTTGAGAGGGGAAATGTGAAGTGTCCCCAATTATAGTACTGTCTAAAAAAAAAATTCAGTTAAAGAACTCTGCATGGGTCGAGAGACACATATTCTTCCACCAATTGCAACATATGGAGACACTCTCCCACCATTTGTGGCTGCAGAGGACAAGGTCATGGGCTCCTATAGAGCTTGTATAGTCAGATGTGCTATTTCACACTTGTTGGACCACACTAGTGGTGCTTAAACAAGTTCTTTCAAGACTTACCAGTTCTCTATATTGGCTTTGGAAAAAGTTCAGAAAAGGGCAACAATAATGATTAGGGATTTGGAATGGGTCCCACATGAAGAGAGATTAAAAAGACATCTGAACCTAAAAGTTTTGTTTTCATTCCTAGCTTTCTGCATTGTTTTTGCATGTGTATTACCAGATCTATACATACCTCAAAATAGTTGGCGCAGGCATTCCAGGATCTGCACCTCTCTTAAAACCTGAAGTAACAAATATACACGTACATCAGCAGCAGCTAATCAAAACAAGGTTGGGGTTCTTGTCTCACTCTCAAATTTAGTTAATTTATAGAAGCTGGCAAAAAAAGTAATATACACAAAAATCCATACCCTAAAACCATTATAGAAACTTTAAGTTCTTCTCAATATTTTAGATTAGCAGTGGGGTCGAACACGCTAGCCACTAGTTACAAGTGGCTTATTTGTCCGGTTGAATGCGGTTAATTCACTACTGCAGTAGCCACTATCATGGCTATGCTACTGTTTCAGAACTGGTTGGACACCACAGGATTAGCATGTCCTGTAACCGGTGTTTTAATGAACTATGCCTTTGCACTAAACTTAGGCAGTTATTAACCTCTGTCATCCATGCTACCAGGGATGTTAGATAGCACGCAATCAAATAGTCATGTAACTTCATCAAATTTGATAGTCCCAGGAGCAGGGCTGGCAGCCAGTGCACTCCCAGCCCCATCTCCAGGGAGTGTCTCCCCTTCCCTCCCCACCCCACCCCCACACATTCCACTGCTTACTCTGTATCAGAGGCACCAGCACAGAGTGGCACCAACCTTTGTCTGTGCAGGGGTCAAAGTGCCTCTCAGACAGGAGCTGAGCCAGACTCTGTCTGTGGTAAGTCCCGGTCCATCTCGGACAGAGCCTCCCCTGAGCTTTGATAGAGGCAGCCTCAACTCCTGCCAGCCCCATCCTGCTTCTGCTGGAGGCAGAAAAGGGGGGGCAGGCAAATCTGCAGAGATGGCACGGGTATTGGCTCCAGCCTGCCCCCTCACCCTCCATCCATGTTGCTGCCTCTATCAAAGCAGCAGCAAGAGTCAGGGAGGGTGTCAAAGGAGCAGGTAGCTCCATGGAATCCAATGCCCATGGGGAGCTGGCTTAAAAGCTGATACAGAAGCAGCAAGGGGGGAGGAAAGTATGGGTAATTGACAGGATTAACTGATAAAACCCAGACTTATCAAATAATCACGCAATTGTCTACATGTTGAAATACCTACATGTTACAACTACATCTTTTGTAATTTAGTACAGAAAAAAACATAACATTTACAGGAAGTCACTGGTATTACTTCTAGCTGGCATAAGCATCCCCAGCTGTTAGTCATAAGGTGACTGACTTACGCAGGGAACAGAAGCAATGGGCAAAGTTAATTTAGTGAAACAAGAAAGAACTGAAAAAAACCCTTTAAGGTTCCTCTAAAACGCTTTCATTAATAGGTCATACAACAAGATTTAGTTTTCTTTTAAGCAGGCAGGCAGGAACAGAAAATCCACTCAGGATACTGTAAATCAAAAGGAGTAAAGTATAAGGTAGGCCTATATTTCATCTCACACACGCAAGCCCTAATACATCCAAAAACTTAAATTGGTATGCATGGGTTTATTCGGATTTAGCAAATTATACAATTCTCGAAACAGCCACTCAAATCAGAGGTGGGGCGGAGCACCAGGATCCAGTCCCCAAGGCTCATGGTCCCCCACCCAGTTTGGGGAAGCCCATGCTGTAACTCCAGCCCCCTATAGTCTATTAGGCTCTGGTGTACAAGGAGAAAGTGGGGAGTGTCTTTCTCTTTCTCTGTCAGGGACCATTCAGTGAGATTGTTGTCAGCGGCCCCCTACTCAAAAAGGTTTCCCACTTCTATCATAGAGGATAGGTCCATCAATGGCTATTATTCAGGATGGGCAAGGATGGTGTTCCAAGCCTCTGTTTGCAAGAAGCTGGGAATGGACAAAATGGGATAAATCACTTGATGTTACCTACTCTGTTTATTCTAGGGATGTGAACGAACCATGTACATGGTTAACTGATGAGCCTTAATTAAAATGTTTTTCAACTACAGCCTTTACACTAAATTTCCTATTTGCTAAATAGTCAAAATTGCTTTTAAAAAGTATAAAAATAATATATCACAAACATACATTTTTTCAGATTCCTAAATTTTCACATTTTCTTATGTTAGAAAATGGCAAATGATGCATTTCTTAAATACTACGTTACTAATTTTTTTTAGTCATGATTTTTATCAAGCGGTATTAGCAGGGCTCGACAAACTTTGTAATCTACTCGCCATGGGTGAGTAGATTGCAACCCAGAAGAGCCGGGTTCAGGCGATCTGCGCATGCGCAGATCACCGGACAGTGCAGATGACGAGCAGGGCTCGCCGCAGTTCGGCGAGCCCTGGGTATTAGAATAAAAACTACAATTCAATTACAAAAATGTGCAAAGTAATATTTTTATTTGTTTTTAATTAACTAACATGACCTTAATCAGGAGTGGGCAATAATTCTCCCTCAAAGAGGGGTGGGGGCGGAGAGAGAGAGGCACTTCATGTATTTTCATATAAGGTCATAGACCAACTACAGGCACCCAGAAGGGGAAGGGCCTCAGGTGAAAGGGGCAGAGAGTGTGAGAGACAGATTTTGAGACAGTGTGACAGAGACTGGGAGTAGGGATGTTAAAACGTGGTTAATTGACTAGTCCAGTAGTCAATAGGCACTTCCGCATGCCTGCTTTGAAATGTACAAGAGTGTCTAGTGGGGGCTCTTGTGCATTTCAAAGCCACGGAACCCGGAGTCAGTGGGGGACTCATAGGCACATGATGACTCTGGGCTCCATGCTGTGCTTGCATGCCACACGGAGTCCAGGGTCAGCTGGGGACCCCACAACTGACCCCGGTTCCACGCGGCATTCCAGCCTCGGGTTCTGGGGGAATGCCACGCAGAGCCCCAGTTGGGGACTCCCCAGTTGATCCCGGGCTCCGCGCAGCATTTCCCCAGAACCCAGGGTCAGCTGGGATCCCAGAGTTCTGGGGGAAATGCTTCTCAGAACCTAGGGTTAGCTGGGGAGTCCCTAGCTGCCCCCGGGCTCCACGGCAGCTGCCTTTTTGAAATGCCAGAGGCGGTGTTTTAAAGGGGCAGCCACCCCACAGCTGGGGAAGCAGCGTTGCACAGCTGATCCCTGGCTCAGCTGTGTGGCACTGCCGCTTTGAAGTACCCACCCCCTTTGCTGCCTCTAACTTGAGGCAGCAAGGGGGGGAAATTGACCAGTCAACAGACTAGCTGATAAGCATTTAAAACTATAATTTATTTTAAAAAGTAGCTGTAGTTAGTTAAACTGATTCCTTTTAGTTCTCATGTCTTTTGAGATTTAAGAACAAATCAATCTCATCCTTTCACATTTTTATTCAAATGCAAAGTAACATGCATTAGAAAACATAATCCCAAATATACTATATAAAATAATGGGACCAAAATACTGGGAATCATTACAAAAGGAATAGATAAGACAGTAAGCTAGTAAGACAGAAAATACATTGCTTGTACGTAAACCCACAGTAGGCCCACATCTTGAATACTGTATGCATATGTGGTTGCCTCATCTTAAAAAAATACATATATTGGAATTGGAAAAGGTTCAGAAAAAGGTAACAAAAATTATTAGACGTATAGAATATCTTCCATGAGAGATTAATAAAATTGGGAGTTTTTAGCTTGGAAAAGAGATAGCTAAGTGGAGATATGCGAAAAGTCTATTAAATCAAGACTAGTGTAGAGAAAATAAATAAAGGCCTTTTTATATGACACGAACTATAAGTCACCAAGTGAAATTAATAGACAGCAAGTTTAAAACAAACAAAATCAAGTATTTCTTCATACAACATACAGTGAACCTGTAGAACCCTTTGCCAGAGAATATTGTAAAGGGCAAGACTATAACAAGTTTCAACAAAGAACTAGATGAATTCATGAACTATAGCTCCATCAATGGTTATTAGCCAGTATGGGCAGAGATGGTATCTTTAGCCACAATTTTGCCACAAGCTAGGAAGAGGTGACACAGGATGGATCATTTGATGATTACCTCTTCTGTTCATTCTCTCTGAAGTATCATGTATTGGCCATTGTCAAAAGTAGGGATGCAAAAGCTTGTTTAATTGGATAACCCGTTGACCAGTTAAACACTATGTTAACTGATGTGGGGGTGGGTGGAACTGAAGCAGTCTCCCCCACAGCAGGCAGGGGCCGCTCCTGCCCATTCAGAGCAGCCTCTGCCTGCAGCATGCCAGTACTCATCACAGATAGGAGCTACTCTGGCCAGGCTGGAGCACGCCTGTCCGTGGTGGGTCCTGCTGGCCTGGAGCAGCCCCCTAGTTGCAGTGGGTGGGAAGCTGCTCCAACCCCCAGCAGTTAATCTTTCACAACTCTAGTTGGAAAACAAGCTAATGGGGTAGGGGGACCTTCGGTCTTACCTAATATGGCTTTTTATGAAAAAAATGGATGCATTACCAATGTCGAACACAAGAATGTTATAAAACAGATTTTAGATAAATTATTGAAACTGATGAGCTGGGATAAATCTATTTAGAAATAAACTGTGACAAGTATATATAAAAATAGATAAAGCTGCTATGGAAATATGGCATGTTGCTTGTCAACATATTTATTCACTGCTTCCTTGACATATTTAATGTGTACAACAGTTGAAAGATTTGAGCAGAACTATAGGAATTGGGAGCAACTGTTAAAGAGTACATCGGGGGAGGGAAGGGAGAAGCAACAGAAGATGTAATTTTTCCATTACTTATTAATTATAAAACAAAGGCCTTTTAATCAGACTTACAGCCTACATTTTAATCACAACCATCACTGCTCTTTCCATGAAGTGGTGAGATAGAAAAACTCCTTTTTCTACAGCTAAACTCCTTTGGGCAAACACTTAGCCTCATTTGTTTTTTTATATTTTACCATCATAGTTTGGTGCTAAGCAAATAAAGCGCTTTCACTGGGCATTGCATTTCTCTATGGCCAAATCTGTTCTGGCACTGCACACATGTCATCACAGCACAATAGCTTAGAGCTGTGGTGTCTTAAGTTCTGAAGCAGGAGACCCTAGTAGCTACTGCTATAGCAAACTAGCCAGACTCAACTGGCCAGAGAGTCACATATGGCTAGCATGTTAGACACCTGGGCTGTAGATACTTCCTATACTGACAGACGAATCCCCCCTCCCCTCCATCAGTAGAAGTGATTTACTTCTTCCAGAGGTGGCAGCTAGGTTGACAGAATAATCTTTCAAGCAATCTAGCTGTCCATACAGCGAGGGCTAGGTTACCCTGTGAGAGTTAGGTTACTAGTGACATAGCAAAGCTTCATCTAATTTTTAAGAGTAGACTAGAACTAACTCTACAGGTGGCAGCCAGAACCTAAGGCCTCATCTTCCTTGAAACTTAACATGTATAAATTACACTCCCCTTCCCCCAACACAGCCCTGCCCTAAAGCAGCGGTTCTCAAATCAGTATCCTTGGGCAGATGCATTAGTTTTCCATCAACTCATCAAACTCTTTACATAATTGTGTACCAGGCTACATGTTTCAGCAGCAGCCTCCTCTGCCCCTCCGTACAGGCATGCCTGGCTCTGCGAGCAAGCAGGTTTGGCAGGCAAGAAAACCCCGGCTGCTGGAAAGAGCCGTCTCTAAAGGTTATGACCCACCAGCCTAAGGAAACAGAGGACAGGAGGCCTAAGCGAAGCCAGATAACGTAAGAGCCCGGCTGCACCTTCCTGCCCCAGGGGCTTCTGGGGCACCACCCCAGCCAATAGCTCCTCATCAGCTGCGTGGGGGGTGAGGGGACCAAACAAGGCCCCGCTTGCCAGCAACGGAGGCAAAAGGCAGCTCTGGGCATCACCAGCGGTTTTTTCTGCCGCGCCCCCCGGAAGGGGCGGCTCTGGAGCCCGACAGGCCGGTGGCTCCCCCCCCCTAC